TATATAAAAGATGAAATAAATGTCCTTGGCCAGTACGTGCCAAGGAACGGAAACGGAAAAACGAAGGTACAATAGCCAAGTGTTAGTTCAAGTGGCGACCTATTGTTAAAAGAGCTTCAAAATGTAAAATACCTATTTTTTTAGAAAGTAGACAAATGTTGATCGTATTAAACGAAGTGTTAATTATGATGTTTCTTTGTATAAATATTTGTTTAATAATAAGTACAGTCACCATTTATACAGGAATTGGAACGGATCGATTTTCAGAACCATGGTATTTGTGATAGTGTTAAAAATGTAATGGAGGGAGATATGTTCATTGATAATGAAAATTTCAGTATTATCAAACTTTTGCTTAAAAAGGCCTATTGTATATATATATATATATATATATATATATATATATATATATATATATATACATACACACATTATATATAAACACATACAGACACACACACACATATATATACAGAGTTATATATTATATATATTATAGGCCTATATACATATATATACATAATATATTGTTTATATATATACATTAATAATAATAATATTATATACATATTATATATACACATACAGACACACACAAACACATATACATATATACATAGTTATATTATATATATTATATAAACATACATATATATACATAATAGACATATAGTGATAATATACATATAGTGATATTATTGAATAATTGTTATTGCTAGTATCAATAACTCATTCCAAAGCACATGTTTTTATGTATTTTGATGTGTATTGATGCTTTGTTTTCCTTTTTAATATACTCTCCATTTTTGGAGGCAATCTAGAATAAATTGAAATTGAAATTGACATTGAAATGTAATTTCCTACTTCAGTAATACCAATAATTGTGATATTTTATTGGCATACTATTAACAATTGATTTTATTATGTTTATCGATAACAATAATTATGTATATATAGACTTAATAAAGGCTGCGTTATGAATGAATATGACACTGTTCTAGTACAGTAAACATGGTATGTCTTCTTCTTTATGTTTTCATTAATGATGGCGGCAATGCATACAAGAACTAGAAAGTGCGAAGTAGATTTTCTACTGTCATATAAGGTGTAGTCTCAGCTTTAATCTTTACACCGGTACAGTAACTTGGAGTATATATTATACTATCTTATCTGATATTAATCAGATAAC